GAAAAACCAAAACACAAAAACAAACAAACAAAACAGAGCTGGTTGGGAACAAGCCTAAGCTACGGCCGAGCTTTCATAATTAATAATAAGTCTCGTTATTTGCAGGCTGATGGTCCCTATGAGAAAGTACCACTACAGCAGGGAAAGAGAGTAAGAAACTTATTTTTTTTTTTCCGGTAAAGAGAGGTTTGACACCCTGCTCCTCAGTGACCAACAATCCTTCGCCCTTTCATAGTTCACAAACCCTTCCCGGCCCAGCCGTGCCGACTCAGTGGGCTGTAGTGTGAGACTCAAAATAGCATTTAGAAAGGACCCAGACATGGTGGCACGAGTATAATGCCAGCACACAGGAGATTAAGGCAGAGAGATCACTTCTAGCCTAGAGTATAGTGCAAGACCCTGTTTCATAAAGAAATAAAGAGGTTGTGGCTGGAGAGATGTCTCACTGGCTGAGAGCACTTGCTGCTCTTTCAGAGAACCTGGATTTGGTCCTGAGCACCTGCCCAGTGGCTCACAACTGTCTGAGTCCAGTTCCAGGTAACCTGGCACCCTCTTTGGACCTCCACAGGTACCAGACACACACACATACAGAGTCTCACACACACACACACACACATACAGAGTCACACACACACACACACACACACACACACACACACACGCACGCACGCAGGCAGAACACTCATACACATAAAATTAAAATGCAAATTAATTAATTAATTAATTAGTTTAAAAACTTGGGTAAGAGCCTGGTGGTGGTTGTGCACACCTTTAATCCCAGCACTGGGTGGCAGAGGCAGGTGGATCTCCGTGACTTCGAGGCCAGTCTTGTCTACAGAGTGAGTTCCAGGACTACATTGAGAGACCTTGTCTCAAAACAAACAGACAGACAACAACAAAAACAAAAACAAGTAGAAAGAGGAGGAGGAGGAGGAGGAGGAGAAAGAAGAAGAAAAGCCCTTAAACACAACAACTACAGTTTCTCAAGCTCCACACATACAAACCTGACTGACCCCTCAGTCTAAATGCTGTGCCACCTGGTGGACATTAAGCAGCACTTCAGGCTCTGAGTGGGCGCCCAGCCACAAGCAGCTCAGATCCCAGGCCTGCGTGGCAAACAGCCCTGGTCCCTCCCTGCCCCGGCTGGCTGCAGTGTATCTCACTCAGAAGGAGAGGACATGGTGACTTCAAAACAAGCCTCACAGTCCACGGCCAGCTTCGTGTTTGCTGTGGCTGTTCCCTGCCCCCGCCCTCCCCGGCCCCGCGACAGGAATGGGATGTGGCAATGCTGTATCAGGAGAGAGGACACCTGGAAGGCCCTGGTCCGTGTTCCTCTAAGTGCTGAGCCCTGTCCTCAGTCCTCGGTCCTGTGGACTGATGCTCTGTGCTGGTTAAGTTTGTCAACTGGATACAGCCTAGACCCACCCGGGAAGAGCGTTTAACCAAGGGTTAACTCCCTCAGGTTGGCCTGGGGGTGTCTGTGTGGGGTTGTCTTCATTAATTGGTGAGGAAGACCCAGCTCATTGTGGGCGGTGTTTCCAAGGCAGGGCTCCTGGACAGTGTGAGGGGAAAGCTAACCAAGAGTAGCAAACATCCTGGATGAGGTGGTGCTTGCCTTTAATTCCAGCACTCAGGAGGCAAAGGCACATGGAGCTCTGTGAGTTCGAGCCCAGCCAGGGCTACATAAAGAGACTTTGTCTCAAAACCTTAAAAATGAATTGTTGGAGGAGGTATGTCACTGGGGGTGGGCTTTGAGGTTTCAAAATCCCACACCAGGCCCTGTCTCTCTCCCTTTTTCTGCCTGTGCATCAGGATGTAGCACTCAGGTACTTCTTCAGTACCACACCTGCTTGTTGCCATGTTCCCTGCCATGATGACAATGGACTAACCTCTGGAATTGTAAGCAAGCCACCAATTAAGAGTTTTCTTTTACAAGAGTTGTCTTGGTCACGGTGACTCTTCCCAGCAATGGAACAGTGACTAAGACACCTGCTCTAAATTTTTGAAGCCACAGCACCCCCATCCCGGTCACCAGCCTGGCTGGGCCTAGAAATTTCAGGGATCTGTAGCTGAGTCCTATTGCCTCGTGAATGATCTCCACTCTGGCACGGCCTCCAATCCTGCACAGTAGAGCCAGCGTTGGGTACTTGCAGGCTTCCTCTGACCCAGGCAAAGATATGATTATCCGAGCTATTTCCACAGCCCCTGACATTTAACCATGGAATACTGCACATGTACCCTTCTCTCTCTCTCTCTCTCTCTCTCTCTCTCTCTCTCTCTCTCTCTCTCTCTCTCTCTGTGTGTGTCTCTGTGTATTACTGATTTTTGACCATATACCAATTGCTGAGATGGAACACCATAACCAAAAGCATGTTGGGGAGGAAAGGGTTTATTTATTTGGCTTACACATCACATCATAGTCCGTCACTGAAGAAGTCAGGGCAGGAGCTCAAACAGGGCAGGAACTTGGAGGCAGGAGCTGATGCAGAGGCCACAGAGGGGCCACAATGGGCTGCCCACCCCCACATCAATCACTAATTACGAAAATGCCCTACAGCCCAACCTTATGAAGGCATTTCCTCAATTAAGGTTCCCTCCTCTCAGATGACTATAGCTTCTGTCCAGTTGACATACAAGTAGCCAGCACACACCAACACACACGAAATTAACTAGGAGCTGTCTAGGGAGGGTTATCATTTGTGGGATGAAACACCATGATCAAAAACAACTTGGGGAGGGAAGGGTTCATTAGGCTTGCTCTTCTGCACTGTAGTCCACCACTGAAGGAAGCCAGAGCAGGAACTGGAGCAGGGCAGGGACCTGGAGGCAGGAGCTGAAGCAGAGGCCATGGAAGTGCTGCTTACTGGCTTGCTTCCCATGGCTTCTCAGCCTGCTTTCTTACAGGCCACCAGCCCGGGGAAGGTACCACCTCTAAGAGACTGGGATCTCTCCTATCAATCACTAATTAAGAAAATGATCTACAGCCCAGTCTTTTTTGTTTGTTTGGTTTTTTTTTTTTTTTTTTTTTTTTGAGACAGGGTTTCTCTGTGTAACAGCCCTAGCTGTCCTGGAACTACTGGAACTAGCTCTGTAGACCAGGCTGGCCTTGAACTCACAGAGATCTGCCTGCCTCTGCCTCCTGAGGGCTGGATTTAAAGGCGTGTACCACCATTGCCCAGCAAGTAAGCTGTGTTGGGCCCAACGTCTTTTTTTGTCTTGTTTTGTTTTGTTTTTCGAGACAGGGTTTCTCTGTGTAACAGTCCTGGCTGTCCTGGAACTGGCTTTGTAGACCAGGCTGGCCTCGAACTCAGAGATCTGCCTGCCTCTGCCTCCCAAATGCTGGGATTAAAGGCGTGTGTCACCACTGCCTGGCCTTTTTTTTTTTTTTTTTAGTATTTATTTTATTCATAAGAGTGCTTTGCCTGCACATGTCTGTCTGGGTACTGCATGCATGCCTGGTGCCTGAGAAAGGGATGATCCTCCATGTGGATGCTGCAAATCAGACCCAGGTCCTTTGCAAGAACAAGTGCTCTTAAGCACTGAGCCAACTCTCCAGCCCCTCCCATCCTGCCTTTATGTGGCTTCTGGGGGCTCAAACTTAGGTCGTGTGGCCTTCACACGTGATTTACCACAGAGCCATCGGACTGGCTCTTGTTTTTTGAGACAGCATATGTAGCCCACACTATCCTTGAACTCTCTGTCTTACCTCAGCCTCCCAAACCAGGATTCCAGGTGTGCACCCCCACACCTGGAAAATCGGCGTTATCTGAGTACAGACAGTGTCTTCCTTGTCCCTCCAGTACCTGGCACTTGGCAGGTGTTCCCTGAGTATCGCCTGACAACATGGAAAACTGAATGGCCAGGCCAGCCTTTCCCGTCCTTTGGTATAGTAGTGTCTGCCCAGGTTCTTTCCCTGCCTGCCTTCTATGCCAAGCATCTCTGTTAGGTGATAGCGAAAACTTACCAAGAGTTTGCACACTCTCAGACAGGGCCTCACTCCACAGCCTACTCTGCCCTCGATCTGCAGCCATCTTCCTGACTCCTCCCCACCGAGTGCTGGGATTACAGGTACATGCCACCATACCTGGCGAGGGCCGTCATAATGCAACTAACAGCCGTAGGAGCGCATAGGAGGGATGCTTGCCTGGGATCTAGCCTGACCTAGTACCAGTAAGAGGACCAGGGTGGGGTAAAGTCCCCCGGGCTATGAGAAAGCCCCCTCCCTGGCTCCTGAGAAGCCCCTTCCATTGTCCTGCCCATAACCTTTGTCCTTTCTGCTCTCCTGACACAGGGTTCTGTGGTTATGTGGAGCCCAGGCCCCACCTGGGAACATATTTTTAAACAAATAAAATCTCAAAAGGTCATGAAGGAACCCAGTTATATTGAAACACAGTTAACAGACGTTTACATTTTTGGTATGTAATATATATGTTTCTTTATTAACATGTTAAAAACAAGGAAAGTCTAACAACTATGATCATTTCAAAGTAGTGACGCATAAATGATATTCTGAGATATAAAGCAGTCTGAAAACATCTGGGATTTCTGTTGGCTACAAAGTCACAGGTACTATTAACGCTATTGTGGCCTGACACCCATCCAGTACATAAGGGAGTGCTAAATTTGTCACAGGTGAGGGAAAAGAAAGATGTAATTTTTTTCCTATCTAGGTCCACAAATCCCCTGAAATCCTTGGACCCAGCCAAAAGCCTGCCTACAGCATAGAGAACTCCAGCCTGAGCCTGAACTCCCATACATGGGCCCTGGGAAAGGATACTCAAGCCACTTTCCCTGTGGGGAACCTGAGCCTAGAAAGGTTGAGGAATCTGCCCAAAGTCACCCAGGCTCAACTTGAAGCTCTCTCCACACAGAGCTGGACTCTAGAGCCAGGCACTCCATGGACTCTGACCTAGAATGCCCTCCTCACCCAGGACCTGAGCCCTATAGGGTTTAGCCCGTGAAACGGGGTGACATGGCCCCTTGAAACCACACACACTCAGTTATTTTTATCTCCAGTTTATTTTTTTAGACTAAGAGCAGAGTATGAAAGTCACAGCAAAGCACTTGAAAAAGGCCCGGGATGGGTGGGGACCACAGGGTGGGCAGGGCAAGGTCCTAGGAGTTGGTTCCCAGCTCAGAGCGGGAAGGGAGGGGGCATTGTTGTTACGGTCTCCAAAAGTGTCTGTGCGTTGCATAGGTCCTGTCTTCACAGAAGACAAAAGAGGGGCCAGGGGGGCCCCGAGGGGGGCCTAACCTGGTGGGGAGGGGTCTGAATCTGGAAGGAGGAGTCAAGAAAGGTCAAGGTTAAGGAAGGGAAGGGACTCTGTCTGTCTGTACATTATATATAGAGATATAGTGTCTGTACATGCCTGTCTGGCACCCCAATGCCCACCCCTGTCCACTGCCTGCTCCCCCCAGGGGTGTCTATTTGTAAACTTGGATTCAATCCAAACCACAGTCCTCTGTGTGGGAGTGGGGGGGGGAGGACATGCTTATTGCTGTAAACAGGGGAAGAGGGAGCCTGAGGCTCCGCCCCTCACCCATCTAGTCCCCTCCCCATGTTCTGCCCCCGGAGGAGAGTGACAGGGGGCACCTCCCAGGCTTCGTTTGTTCTCTCTGGGGCATATGTGCCTCTTGGGGGACAAAGAGGGAGGGGCACCAAGGGTCGGGGAAAGGTACCAGGGGGCAGGGAGTCCTGAGCACTGCCTTTTAAAGCCCCCAGGTTTGGTACCAAACATTACCGAAGCCACAGGCCGCCTGGGACCTGTGGCTGTCCCTGTGCCTGATCCACTACAGTGCCTGTCCTAGAGAGAGTGGGCAAAGCGGCAGGCACAGATAGATAGACGTACAGTGCAGACCCCACTCCCAACCACGGGAAGAAGGATGTAGGCCCCACAGCTGACTCCCTGCTCCTTTTCAGCCCCGCCCCACCTCTCTCTGCCATAGGAAGGGGCAGAGCTAGGAGGCCAAGAGTGTCATAAGGAAGAAGGCGATGCCCACGGCCAGAGGCAGGTGTTCCCGCTTGGGGCTGGTCCCGCTGATGCTCTTCTCAAGCTTGGGCACCTGGGGACTCTCGCCCTCAAAGTCTTCTGTGGAAAGATAAATAGACAGACTGGTTAAGGGCTTGGCCGTGCGCTGGGGCGGGGGGCACGCGGCGGCGGCAGCAGCAGCAGCAGTGGAGCCAGGGATGTGGCCACCCATAGGGGCGGGAGGGGCAGGAAGGACTCTGGTCCCAAGGGAAGGCATGCGGGGCGGGGGGAAAAAAAGCAGGCACCGGGAAGGGGGCTGCGGTTCCAGCAGTGGCCACCAGAGGGCGCTGCGCAGACTCACCCAACACGTTGATCTTCACATTGGGGCCCATGGTGAACTGGGGGAGAGTGGGGACCGGCTTCTCCCCGGAGTGCGATGCTGCGGGGTGGGGTGCGGGTGGGGAGAGAGGAGGGGAAAGTCAGGGCCAGGACCCCCTCCCCCTGCTACAGCTGGGGAGCTAATCCCGGTCGCCTGTGCCCTCTGCCCCCATCCCCAGGAAGCCAAGGGAGCCCCAAAGCAGGGAGGCTAGGATGCAGACGTGGCTGGAAGCCGACGCTACTCACTGGAGGCGCAGCAGACGAACACCTTCATCCTCAGACACTTCCAGTGCAGGTTGTGAGTGGGCGTGGCTGGGGAGGAGACTGGGCCTGAGTTGCTTTCACTCACTTGGTGCCCTTCAGACCCTTACGCCTAGACTCTCATCCCCCTCCAAATTACCCGCATCCGGCTATGTCCTGGAGTAAAACTGCTCCATCCTTTGGACACTGGTCACCATAGCTCTATAGCCAGCCCAACCCAGAATGCCCGTAACAGAAATGCTCTGAGGCCCCAATTTGGGGCTGTCACCAACCCGCGTCGTCCCACCGCCCCCCCACTCCCCAATCCTCACAACCCCTCTAAGAGATGAAACTCTGAAGCCTTATCCTTGGTGACCACCAACCACACCGGCCGGCCGGGGATCCCCGGGACCCTACCCTGTCACCCCAGAGACTGAGGACCCGGCACTCACAGATATAGTAGTATTCTTGGCCGGCATGGAATTCGTATCCCAGCGAGAAGGCGCTGTAGCGCTGGAACTTCTCGGAGAACTTGATGGGGCTGTGCGAGGCGTGCTGCCGGTTACATTCCCAGCGCTTGGAGCCCTGGCTGGCGTTGCAAGTGCGGTAGCCGCTCAGGTTCACCATGTAGAGCACGTACTGCTCCGCCCCGCCGCCGGGCCCGGAGCTGTTGTAGTGCGGACAGTAAATATCCAGGTAGTCGTTCACGTTCACCTGCACCGTGTAGCCCTCTCGCCGCAGGCTGTGGACAAACGGAGCGGGTCAGAGGAGAAACCCCGACGCTCTAAGGTTTTTCCACGTCACCACTTCGCAGACCTTCACTAGGACATTTTAGTTCATCCAGATGATGTGCTTTGATCATAAGAATAATAAGAATTCGCTCCCCCCAGACTCTTGGCTTTTCCTACATTTTTTTTTCTCAGCCCCTTTCTGTCCCCAGAGTCCAGTAGTCGAGTCCCCTTACTGTGTCCTCTCCTTTTTGGCCTGTCCTTCTCCTGGTGGCCACCAGAGGGTAGCAAAGGCACAGGGAAGCCTGGCCTACCTCCTAAGGAGGAGAGGGAGAGGCGGAGGAAAGAAGGAACCTGGCTCCGGTTGCCACAGAAACAGCGCAGGCCCCAACGACTCCCAGACCCAGGCCCGGATTTCCTCAGTCCATTCCCAATTCACCAGCCCCGAGGAGGGACTGAGGCATGGAAGCGAGGGTGAAGGTGGAGAGACCCCTTCCTTGGAGATGGAGGCACAAGCCCTGTCATCGATTCTCCCAGAATGCCTTCTTGCTGCTGCAGGTCCACCCCCCAGGCCAGTCCGACAGGACTTGCCCTCGTACACGCGTGTACGGCGGCTTCATGCACATACATGCACACGTTCCATGGCACAAACACAAAAATGTCCACCGCCCACTCCTGGGCGGCAGATACTCGGAAAAGCTAGATGGCATGGGTGCTGAGCCTATGCCGGTATTAGCTGGCCCCATCGGTCTCAGGGCTCCCCTCCCCTGTATTCCCTACAGGATAGGACCTCTGTCTTTGTGGTTTTGAGTCCCATTTGCCTCCACCCCGAAGCCATGGACAATGAAGTCCCCAGTAACCTGACACAGATCAGGGAGCTGAAGAGTTCAGCATCAAGGCCCTCCCTGTGATCACCCCAAGATTACTGCCTTGTTACATACTTCCTTCCTCCACGTAGATGCCACTGCACTGTCTCCCCCCCCCCCATACACACCATGATAATGCTAGGCACAGGCCTAGACAAGATGACTGTGTCTGTCACTCTCCAGAGGAGTCTCTGGGACAGAGAAGCAGATACTGGGTCTCCAGGAACCCCCACCCTGCTTGTTAGTTCCCATCTGAGTGCTGGTCTGAACATCCTGGGTGGTAGCACAGGATGGTGTGGGGGACGACAGAGACGCCTCAGTGCAGAAGTGTGGCGGAGTGGGTAGAGGTTTCCTTTAACGTCCTCAGGGCAAGCATGCGTACATGTTGGCAGTGATGCAGGAGGACAGTGGGCACAAGAAAGCATGGGTTATACCTGGTGGAATGACAAGCCACTGAGTCCCTAGTCCCTGGGAACTCCCTGAGGGAAGGAACTGGCTCTCCCTGTCACCAGGCACTACCCAGTTCCACAGACAGCAGTCAGAGGCATCAGGGAGATGCGCTTGGAGGCTTCTTCCCGGGACAAGGCCTCGAGGGTCCTCCCTGACATTATCCAACCTCACTGGATTACTTGTGTTGCCCCCTCCCCAGGACGGGCAACGAGGCCGATGGGTAACAGCTGGTGTTTGGGCTCTCCAGTAAGAACAGGCACGGTCTTCTTGAGTCATCAGGAATGCCACCAGTCCCACTTGGTTCCCATGGGAGTAATGGGTCACTCGGGCCCCTCCCTGTCCCTGGCACTCAGGTGGGCAGGAGTCTCCACGGGCGCTGAGAGCAGGAAAACGGGTTAGACCAGGCCTGGCTGCTCCCAGCCACCACCCATGCATTGTATGTCCATCCCAACCCCATAGTCTCCTGTGACTTTCCTAAGGTCCTGGGGAAGGGGCCACCAGCCAGCGAGCACAGAGTGCCAGGCCTAGACCAGCCCCAGAGCTACCCTGGAGCCCTGTTCCTTCGGCCTCACGCATGTATGCAGCCTGATTTTGAAGCCAGCCCCTCCCCGTGGCTGCCCCACTGAAGCCACACACCCCATTACAGCAGGGAGCGAGCCAACTCCAGAGATGTTCCTACAGGTGGTACCTCAGTTTCCTCAAGAGGGTGGGCTGAGCATAGAAAGTGGTTGCTGTGTGACGACAAGAAGCCACCTCTTACCTATCCCTGTGATTGGTGGCAGAAAAGCCTCAGAAATGCCCCCTCAACCTGGCTATGTGAGTCAAAACCTGATGGCAAGTTAGCTGTGTCCATTGGTATCTGGTGGTGGGTAGAGAACAGAAGGCTGGGTGCCAGGAATCCCAAACCATGACTCCTAGGAGACCCGACCTGTCTGTTAGGCACAACCTCTTTAATTGAATCTGTCATCCTACTTAACCCAGCAGTGAAGGGGAGGTGCACAGAGGCCCCAGCAGAGCTTTCGCAGCTAACCACGCCTCCGGGGTTACCCCCCTCCGGCGCTCCGCGGAGGGTGGGCCAGCATCTGGGGACTGGGTTGTGCCCTGCTCCTTCAGGGACTTCTCCATTCTTCCCTCCATTTTATTCCCTCGTTGCTTCCCACTTCTCTTGCAGAGAGGTCTTCTCCGCTCTTCTACAGGGATTACCCCCTTTAAGCCTGTTACTTCGTCCCTCCCGACCTGCAACACCCGTGGGTGCATCCCGACTCTTCTCACTTCTACAGCGCCCTGGCTTCCCGGGCCCGTGGCACTCAGCCTTCAGTGCCCGCGGGGGGGACAGGACGGGAGGTGGGGGAGCGGGGAAGGAGCAAAACGTCTCCCCCTGGGGCCATTAAGGGCAGGTAAACAGGGTGTCTAACAAGACCTGGGAGAAGGGAAAGGCTCCCGAGAGACCCTGAACTTGTTAAACCCCTATCCTCGGCCTTAGAAGCCAAGATGCAGAGTTAAGGGAGTGGAGGAAAAAAAAAAAAATGCAGAGACTAGGTTCTTTTCCCTCTAGTGCGCGCCCCCGAGGCTGCGCGCCGCCCGCTCCAGCAGGCGAGGCCCAACCACGTGTGCGCGGCGTGGAGTCCGCGCGCCGGGGCTGGGGGTGGGGGTGGGGGTGGGGTGGGGGTGGGCAGCGGCGGCGGCGGGAACGCTCCCAGGGCGGCGCGTGCACACTGACCCCCCCCCCCCCCCCCGCGCCCCGCCGGCCTGGTGGCGAAGCAGCGCGCCGGTCACCCCCGCCCCTCGACCCTGCGACAGTAGCGACAGTAGCGGCGCGGCGAAGGTTTATTGATCTGCAGCGGCGGAGAAGAGCGAGGACCCGCCGAAAGCGAGACACACAGAGATGGAAAGCCTCTGCCATCTCCAGAGGGGAGGCGAACACACAGACGGATTCGCCCGAGAGGGGAAAGGGAGGGAGGGAGCCACAGCGAGACAGGGGAAGCCAGAAACAGGGAGAGGGAGGGAAGGAAGGAAGAACCGAGCGAGACTTGGGGGGAGAAAACGGCGGCGACTCGGCATCCGATCCACAGAGGCCCACAGCAAGCGGAGAAGAAGACAGCGTGGAGAAGAAGAGAAATCGGCACCCACTGGCGACTGGACGAAAACAGACCACCGCGGACGGAGTAGAGGTCTCGATAAATATTTGTTGAATGAACGTGTGAATGAAAGCGATCAGCAACGGCAGCGTTTCCCGGATAGGTAGGGAGATCGCGAGAAGAAGATGCTCTTGAGGAGAGTACCAACACCTTCGTTTAGTTCCAAGAATGAAGCTCTGGCAAAGGGGGACACACATGTTGGGCCCTCAACTCCGCCCCATTCAGTGCCCGGCTCAGGAGACCCCCGACTTCACACTCCCACCACTCCCTCCAACAAGGTTGCTCCCACCGCGTCCTAGTTTCTGGGCCAGGTTAGGAAAAGGTCTCGCCTATTCCCAGGGACGAACTCAAGGGGGCCGAGTGGGGGGAGCGGGGGGGGGGGGGGCTAGGTAGCCAGGACCCGGCCACCCGCCCCACGTCTGTCAACCGAGGCTACTGCAGGTCTGTCAAAAAGAGGTTCCTGCACGTGTCCCACCAGCACCCTCCCACGTGACCCTGGGAGGCGGGGTCGCAGACCCTCCCCCACGTGACCCCAAGGGGGCAGAGACCCTCTGCACGTGACGGGAGGTGGGAGCCAGGAGTCTGGGTCACGTGACGGGAGGAAGGGGGGCCTGGGAGCCTGTGGCTCGGCCCGGCCCCGCCCCCAGCTCCCCGGCCCTCTCCACTCCCGGCTCTGGAGCACGTCGCTCTCACGATTTATGGGGCCGCGGATGCCGCAGTGAGAGAGCCGGGGAGCCCGGGCGCAGCGGCAACAAAGGCCCGGGAAGCGGGGCGGGGGCGGCAGCGGCCTCCCGGCCCAGTGTGCGCCGCCTCCTACCTCCGTCGGTCCCTGCCGGTGGCACGGGAGTGGAGAGGGCGACGGGAGGTTCTGGGCAGCCGGCTCTCCCATCCCGTTCCGGAGCTTTCACCTGCGCCCAGGTGTACGCGGGGGAGGGGAACCCGATCAACGCTCCCCTCAAGGCTATTCCCACACCCACTAGGCTCTGGCATCCGCGACCAGGGGGTTCCCCAAGGGTGGCGGGGAACCCGGGGTCCCTCACCTGCGAGCTCACCGCCCGTGCCAGACTGTAGCGGGGCGGGGGTCGGACGTGTGAATCTCAGGGTGGGGGGGGGGGGGAGATGAGCTAGATATAGCAGGGTAGTCAGCACTCAGCGCCCCCCGGGGAGGTTGGAGTCCCGCTCCGGGGGGGAGGGGCTGCAACCCCACCCCCCGAGGTTTCCATGGGAAGCAAAAGGGGGGCGTCATTAGCTCATCCCCACCCCCAGTCTGACACTCTGGGCGCGAGGAGGAAGAGGGGGAGGCGCAGAGCCCCAAACAACAAAGAGCGGAGCAGCAAGCAGGAGCCCCTCCCCCGGAAGGTTGGGGGTCGCGGTCGAGGCCCTTCAGGTCCCCTCCCCTGGGGTCTCACCATTTGTTCCCTAGTCGGCCTCCAGGGCGGGGAGTCAGAAGCAAAGCTGCCGCCACCGCCCGGGCAGGTGTGACAGTGATCCCCGTGTCCCCAGGGATCCCCCCTACCAACACACTGAGGTGGCCAGAGTGATATACGCGACAGCTCGGCAGGGAGGAGACAAGGGCAGCAAGGACTGTGCAGAATGACGGCCCGGTCCCGCAGCCGGCACCGGGCCGCCGCGCCACACACCGGAGGAAACCACACGGCCGCCCTGACACCCGCCCAGACCGCGGCGGCGCCAAGAGCCACCCCAGCCCAGACAAGACTGGCCACGCGGACACCGACCGCAGCCCCCTCCCCGACCCGCCGCCCGCTCCCACCCCTAGACGGTCGCCGACGCAGACACACAAATCACACACAGACACACGCACACTGACAGCCGCGCACGCCCGTTCACACTCGGTGCCATACGCCGTCCCTAGCCTCAGCGTGTGTGTGTGTGTGTGTGTGTGTGTGTGTGTGTGTGTGTGTGTGACACGCCGACATCTCTGCCTTCTTCTTTCTCACCAGTACCCTGCGTTCCCAGGGCCCCCCAACTCCGCGACCTGCCCCGGCTCACCCCACTAGGGTTTAGCCACACAACCAGAGCAACCCATTTCCCCTTCGTTCTGGGGAGGTGGCGAATCGGACTTCCTGCCTTAATGCCGAACCCCACTTTTAAGAGCAAGAGTCTTAGGCAAAACCCCATCAACGTTTATAGGCTGAAAACAGGTCATCCTTGGGCTCCCAAATGCAGCGGCCTATCCCCAGCACACCGGTACCCCCAGACTTCAACCTAACCAAAAGGAGTGTGGATGGTGGGGGGGGGGGGACTACGGGACAGGGAACACTAATCCAAAGGCTGGTGTGGAAAGAAACCAAGATGGGGTTGGGGCCCCCCCAACAGCCTCCTCCGCACGGCCAGAGCGCTCCTCACTATGCCCCAACAGCTTCTCTCAGACACCCCCTAGTTTCACAGACGCCCACATAGTGCGTCCCCTCTCCCTCGCCTCTCGGCACCAAGCCTGTCTCCCAGGACTGCCGCCAGGTTCCCCTAGGACTTCTAGGGCCCACCAGCTCCCCCATCACTGACGCGGGACGCACGGGCTCTCCGGGTCCCCGACTCACTGCTGGTTGGAGCTGTTCCAGTATACCGCATGCCGGTTTCCCAGCGCGCCCCCAGGCCCCTGGGCCAGCAGCGGCAGCAGCGGCACGGGCACGAGCAGCAGCAGCAGCAGCAGCGGAGCCGCCGCCATCCCCGGAGCCGCCGCCGCCGCCGCCCCCCGACTGAGCCCCGCGCTCCCGGCTTCTCAGCTTCCCAGCTCCCTGCTGCCGCCGCTGCCAGCCCCCAGCCTTAGCCACGCCCACAAGCCTTCCCTCCGCCCTTCTGGGCGCGCCCCCGAGGCCCCGCCCCTGGCGCGCTCACGCCGGGCTCCGCCCCACTTGAGCCCAGAGCGCGCCGCGCGTGGGCGACGGGAACTGTGTTGCCCCTCTAGGAAGAACGCGCCTCTCCTCTCTCCTAGGTGATTTGCTGCAGCGGCTTGCGTCTTTTGCTCCCCCAGGCTGGAGTTCCCAGAAGGATCTGGGAGCCAAGACCGGGATAGACAGCTTGTGTAGGTCCACACCTTTCTCCGTGGACTGTAGGAGTGTTGAGGAGCGAAGGGCTACCTCTGAGTAAGCAGGACTAGACCCACATCTGAACGAAGTTGGACCTCCACTTCGCCCTTCCCATGTGCACACAAGGAGTTAAATGGACACATGATGGGGAAGCCCTCAGGTGGTACCCAGGAACTAACAGCTGGCTGCCTGAAGGCCCTCAGCTGAGCACGAGGGCTTGTTTTTCTTGGAGCCAAGGCAGAGAATGTCATCTTCTGGGGGCTGAGCACAGTAGCTCACTCCTTTAATCCTGGCACTCTGGAGGCAGAGCCAGTCGGATCTCTGTGAGTTCGAGGCCAGCTACATAGGTCTGTATAGGGGCTACATAGTGAGACCCTGTCCTTAAAAAACGGCCTACTCTGGTAATCCAGGGCAAAGGTGTTGGTGTTGGTGATGGGTCAAGGTAGGAGGCGGTTGGAGCCAAGCAGGAATGGAGTGATCTTGGCAGGCCCACAAAGGGCCACTGACTGCCTCCAACCCCCCTCAGCGATGTCCTCAGGCACGCTCATTCCTGCTCCCATAGATGCTTTCTCTAAGGACAGAGAGCGTCTTGTGTTCCAGCACTCATCACAGCCATTGTCTTAGTGGGGACATCCAAGCACAGACATGACATACACACAGTGAGGGGGAAAAGAGAAGGTGTGCATACCCAGGGACAGGGAACACAGGAACACAGACGCTTGCCACACAGGCTGATACACACCAGGTGCTACCATAACTAGGTAAGAGACTGGTAGAAACACAGGCCTGTAGACACACACACACACACACACACACACACACACACACACACACACACTTCTCCCTACCAAACTGCCCTATCCCTCTCACAAAGGGTCCAGAACCCTATCTCCTCTCTTTTCTGGAAGCCCATACCGAAAGGCAAAGCAGAACCAGGCCTGACTGGGTTCTCAGGACCCCTAGCAGCTGTGCCCGGGGAGGCAGGTGCGATGCTATTTTGTTGTGCTTCAAAAGGCGGGGCAGATGTCTGCACCCTCCGTCTGTTTACCTTTGGTAGTATAAGGCCTTGACCACAAGCCTGCCTTGGGTGTGAAGTTGGGGGAGGGGCACTGCACCCACAGCAGGCTCTGTGCCTCCCTGCTGCTAGGCAAGAGTGGGTGCACCTCTCCACTCCAGGGAGACATCTTCTCTCTTCTTGGGAGCCAGAAAATAAATGAGGTCCCTTGGGATGGGAGTGAGGGACTTTACAAACAGTTCTCTTCATTCTCAAAGGGGTTTTCTTCACCCCAATAATGCTAACCTGCATACTCCAGGGACCACAAGTTCCAGCCCCTGCCCCTCCATGGCATGCCTCTGATCCACAGAAGTAAGCTTCTCTCTGTAGGGCAGAGGAGTCAGAGAGCCTGTCCATATGCACAGGCTGGATTGGTCCAGGACTTTGAATTCCATTTTTGAAAACTTGATTCCTGTTTCTAATTCTGGGTTCCAAGCTGGGAATGTACTTATTGGTAGAGCATGTGTATGAGACCCTAGGTTCAATCCCCATTATGGTCAAAATAAATGAATACTAAAACCTGGCTTTTATTTAAAGATTTGGGTGATTTGGGTCCCATACTCTAGAGCCCAGATGTTCCTCTTTAGAATGTACTACTCCTCCTTCTCCTCCAATAATCATTGAGCGTCATAGTGGGAGAGGGCTCAGAGGTTAAGAGCATTTGTTACTCTTCCAGAGGACCCACGTTTGATTCCCAGCACCCACATCAGATTGTTCACAAATGCCTGAAACTCCAGTTCCAGTGGATCTCCACTCTTCTGCACTCACATGTGCAGATACCACACCCACATGATTAAAAATAAGCAAGAAAAAGGGGAGCCTTTGCCTTTGAACCGGGGGCCCTCTCTGTTTAAGCCTGGGTTTAAGATCATCTTTCTCTCTCTGGCCAAAATCTGACTTTCAGACACTGTATGGGGCCTGTGTCTGTGGGATCTGGTCCTCGGGTACCCAGGCTTCTGTTTATGGGGCTACTGGCTGGTTTGGGCCTTCGTGTGGTTCACAAAAGCGCCCCTCTATGCAGATTCTGTCTCTAGAGAGCAGCCCTTGGCAAGTGGTGTCTTCGTGCAAAAGCAGAGGGCTTACGTGTCTCCATCTTAGTAGGGGGTGTGAGCTAATGGCAGCCTCTTCTGGCCCTTTGTTTTAACTTTTCAATGCCAAGCACAAACTTTCATAATGTGTGTGGCAGTTCTGTCTACAGAATATGCAGTGTGTATGCACCTCCAACTACAGTACGTTCAAGAGCCTCAAGGGAACTGAGAGCCTGTTATTCATTCATTCATTCATTCATTCATTCATTTAATTGAGACAGAGTCTCTCTCTCTATGTATCCCTGGCTGCCCTGGAAATCACTGGATAGACCAGGATAGCCTCAAACGCCTGCCTCTTCCTCCAGTGCTGGGATTAAAGGCACGTGCCACTAAGCCTAGTTGGGACTGGGATTCTTGAAGGACTAGGCCTGTGTATATGAGATCTGAGGTGCTGTCCGTGCCTAGGACCTGTGGCATCTGGGTCAGAAGAAGTCCTCTGTCAGTGGGGAGTAGGCCTTTGTTTATATCTGTGGCACCCATCATTCTTGACTGGCCTGCGGAGGAACGGGTTATCTGTTTGGGCACTGCCATTCAGCAGGCCTGTGCATACACCGCTACAGAATTGCTGAATACAGCATGGAGCAGATGGAGCAGACACAGGAAGGTCCGCAAAGCAGTCCTTACCCTGCTGCAGAGGAGGTGTCCTCAGTGTCCCTCTGTCTCATTCTTTTTTGTTTTTTGTTTTTTCCAGAGCTGAGGACCAAACCCAGGGCCTTGCACTTGCTAGGCAAGCGCTCTACCACTGAGCTAAATCTCCAACCCCTTTTTTTTTTAGTTTTTCGAGACAGGGTTTCTCTGCATATTTTTTTTTTTTTAAAGATCTATTTATTTATTATGTATTCAGTGTTCTGCCTGCATGTATCCCTGCAGGCCAGAAGAGGGCACCAGATCTCATTACAGATGGTTGTGAGCCACCGTGTGGTTGCTGGGAATTGAACTCAAGACCTCTGGAAGAACAGTCAGTGTTCCCAGCCTCTGAGCCATCTCTCCAGGCCCTCTCTGGGTAGTTTTGGTGCCTGTCCTGAATCTCGATCTGTAGACCAGGCTGGCCTCGAACTCACAGAGATCCGCCTGGCTCTGCCTCCCGAGTGCTGGGATTAAAGGCTGCGCCGCTGCTGCCGGGCCCCTCTGTCTCATTCTTTTAAAGTGTGCTTGGGGGCTGGAGAGATGGCTCAGTGGTTAAGAGCACTGGCTGCTCTTCCAGAGGTCCCAAGTTCAATTCCCAGCAACCACATGGTGGCTCACAACCATCTATAATGAGGTTTGGTGCCCTCTTCTGGCATGTATACATAATAAATAAATAAATCTTAAAAAAATAAAATAAAATAAAAAATAAGAGTGTGCTTGGGGCTGAAGAGATGGCTCAGTAGTTAAGAATACTTTTTACCCTTCCAAAGGACCTGGGTTCAATTCCCAGCACCCATATGGGAGCTTGCAGCTACCTCTAATTCCAGTTTCATGGGATCCTACCCCCTCTTCTGGCTTCTTTAGGCACCAGGTATAAATAAATAATGGTACACAGACATACATGTAGGCAAAACACCCATACACATAAAATTATGAAATAAAAAACGTTTTGTTTGTTTGTTTGTTTGTTTGTTTGAGACAGGGGTCTGTCCTAGAATGCCCTATGAAGACAAGGCTGGCCTTGAACTCACAGAGCTCCACCAACTTCTGCCTCCTGAGTGCTGGGATTCAAGGCGTGTACCAACATACCCAGTATTATTTTTAACTAGGTCGGGTGTACTGGTGTCTCTAACCGCAGCACTTAGGAGGTAGAGGTAAGGAAAAGCAAAAGTTGAAGATCATCTTCCCCTACAAAATGCGTTGGAGGCCAACCTCGGCTAAATGAGACCTTGACATAAAGTAATAATAATAATAATAATGATAAAGCTGCCTGAGACTAATAAAACCAGCTCCTTGGTTTCCTCTCCCACAGTAGGTCACAGACTTAAGTGTGAAGCTCTGAAACATCAGGCCTGACTCTAAGCTGCTGTTGGCGAAGCCGGAGTTTTCTCCATGGGCCTGGTCCTCTCTCTGGGCCTCAGGCCTCCTCTCACGTAGAGGCTCTGCCCTCTAGTCCCACTGGCCTTGGGGCTGGCTGCCATGATCTTCCCAGGAGCACTGAGCCCAGACTCCCTGAAAATCCTGACAAGGTACTCCATTCTCCCCATCCCTAGGGTCCAAGGCATCAGGAAGCTGAGCAGGTCTGAGGCACGGGGAGCACTCAGGTTATGTAGCCCAAGGCAACTCCCAGGACATAGGGTAGCAGTCACAGAGCTGAGTTTAGTTCAATAAATCATGGAGGCGAGGGCCTGGGGGAGGGGAAGGCTGGGAGGGGAGGGGGCTGGATAAATAATTCATTAAACAAATAAACAAGGAGTCTGTGAGAGCGAAGCTTGGCCGTGGTGTGAGCAGAGGCAGCCGCCGCCAGCTCCTGACATGAAATATTCACAGGCTCTGCACCTTCCACAGGGTCATGCGTGTTCTGCTGTGCGGAGTACCATAGACACCTGGGTACTATGGGGTGGGGCCAGGTGTGTGCATTGGCCTTCTGACTCCTGAGTGTGTGTCCACATGGCCCTCTGG